TGTGGTCGAATGTTACCCTGAAGGGGGAGGGAGTGCAAAAGCAATGTGTTTTTGAGATTCAAGCCTTTTTGAAAAAATTTAATGAATGAATGAATTAATTAATTAATTAATTAATTAATTAATTAGTAAATTAAAAAAAATTATCAATTAGGTTTTTCTACCTGACGATAAAACTGGGAATATTGACAATTTGTTTTCCAACACTTTATTCCCAAAAATAAGTAAAAATTTAGTATATGTATGTATGTTTGCTTACAAAAAAAAATAAATAAAATTTAAATTTCAACGCATACCGAATATGACGCTGTCTTATCAGGACACGCGCATGATGAATAGATTTGGCCAAACCAGATTTATAGACTTGGGTTTGTAATCTTCTTTCCAAGAAATCTTCAATTTTCAAAGCCAATACGTAATCAAGTTTCATCTTAGATTCATCCAACACACCAATTCTAACAAGTCTTCTAATCAATGCATTTCCTTCAAAAAGTCTACGAGGATCCTTGTCATCTAATGTTAACAGTTCACGAGCGGCTCTTCGAATATTTGATAATGTATAAGCCACGCGCCAAATTTCGCGTTTGTTTCTCAATCCATAATCACCAATTAAGCGAAGTTCTTGGTCCATACGTTCCTTCTCAAAGGGACGACGTGGAACCTTGTAAGTCTTTGAGCCTATAACACAATGATGATAATTATAATAATAATAAGGAAAGATAAAAGAAGGAAAAGAAGAGGTAAAGTGAATATGAATGAATCGATTGTAATCATTGAATATATAAATTAAAATTTGTTCAATTGGAAAATTAAATAGTTACAGTTTATTGGAGCTCCTGGCATTTTTATAAAATTATATTATTGTAGAATTAATTATTATGAACCAAGATTATTATTTTTTTTTTTTTTGATTTAACCAATTAAATTTTAATCCACACAAAAAAAATTTGCACTAAAAAATTTTTTTTATAATTAAATTATTTTGAACTAAAAAAAAAAGGTAAAAATTCAATTCTATATTTATAATTCATGAAAGTTTAATTTTAACTCATTTTCTCTCAATCATTTATTTTGTTAGATTTGAAGAAATGCCTCACTCATACGGTATCCGTGCTCGCACACGGTATATGTTTTCTCGTAAATTTAAAGATCATGGATATCTTAAGCTTTCAACCTATCTTAAAATATATAAAGTTGGCGATATCGTAGATGTCAAAGCAAACGGTGCAATTCAAAAAGGTATGCCGCATAAATTTTATCATGGGTAAGGGTCAATCAATCAATTAATCACACATATATTTTGTTATTTTCAATTATCTTTTTTTTCCAATCTAATCATAATCTTTTTTATGTGGTATGCATATGATAATAATTATAATAATAATAAAGACGTACGGGAATTGTTTATAATGTGACAAAATCCTCAGTTGGTGTTATTATTTATAAACGTGTTGGTAATAGATACATTGAGAAGAGAATCAATGTTCGTATCGAACATGTAAAACATTCAAAATGTAGAGATGATTTCTTACGTCGTGTTAAAGAAAATGCAATTAAAAAGAAAGATGCTAGAGCTAAAGGAGGTTTGTATAAATTTGATTACATATGTATATAGAATTTTACGCTTACAAAATTAATTAATTGCATGTTCAAATTAAAATTATTTTTTTTATAGAAAAAGTAAATTTAAAGAGACAACCTGTACTTCCAAGAACTTCACGTCACGTCTCAACCAAGAAGAATATACCAACTACTATTACACCAATCCCTTACGATACACTTGTCTAATAAACATATCAAAAAAAAATAAAATAATAAATAAATTAAAATAAACGCTGTTTTTTGTTATAATTTATTCTGTGATGTAATTCACGTGTATAGGAAATCGTAATAATGAAAGTCTCTGATCAAAATACTATCAATCAATTGATAAATTTTACAATTACTAATTAGTATTGGCCAGACGATTTTCAAAAAGAAGATGTATGAATTGGTTTGATAAGACATGGTACAACAAAAAATTGTTTATTTATTTATTTCAATAATGCTGATGACAAAGCAAATTCCATATTATTGGCAAAATATATTTTAAATTTAATATCCATGTTCCTATTTTCATATCTCGTAGGCTAAATATTATTTGGTTCTTTGGCTTCGTAAGCCAGTCTGGTTTATAATTTCTGTGTATTCATTCCCGTTAAAGATCATTTGTGCCATGTAATTAAGGTTGGTTTTAGCATATTAGGTTTTGTATTAATGAAAAAGGCTTGATCAGATTTCTCGTCTTTCAGGTCTGGATATTTCCTGCTGTATGTTTCTCCCCCATTGTTATAATAATAATTATTATATTTTGACTGTTATTACTATTTTTAATAATTTGTTTCCATTTATCAGTAACTTCATTCCTTTTACTGATTGTTCATTTCCATTTTATCAATGGTACTTTCTCTTTTAACGAAGATTCCTTTGAACAGTTTACTTGGTACTACAGTCAACCCCCCTAAATGCGCCCCATAAATGCACACCCTCTCTAAATGCACGCTTTCACTCATTCCCAAGCTCAGGGCTTAAGAGATAAGTGCACACCTCCATACCTGCACTGCACGGTCTTTTTTCATTCCCAACTATATAAAACCACTCCCTAAATGCACGCCCGTGACTTTCACGTGATTTTATGCATTGTTAATCGTGTAACCTTAGAAAATTTTACAAATTTGGCTTTGACTTAATTCCCAAAATCTCAATTTTTAATCAAAAAGT